CGCCGGGGGGGCGGCCTTGCCGCTGGGTGACGCAGGCAGAGTTCCAGAAATCCGCCGTCTCCACTGCTATGAAGAAGGTATTTGACACCCCCCTCCCGGAGTGGGGCGAGGCGCTCAGCCCTCTGCGACCCCCCAGACGCAGCCCCCTTGGGATTGCTGGTAACAGGGGGGGGGATTCAACCTGCCCCCCACTGGGGTCGCAGCAGAGGTGGGTGGGGGCCAGCCTGGCACATCCTCTGGCCTGTGGTGCTCCCTCCCTCCAGTGCAGCTCCGGGGGGCTAGCCGGCTCTGTCTTGTGCCTCCCCAGGTCTGGAAGGCGTGCGAGCGGCAGAGCGGCGAGGGGAGGGGGCCCAGCAAGGTGAGTGTGTCTGCGTCTGCAAGGGGATGGGGGAGGGGATCGGTCTCCCCCCCCAGGAAGCCCCGCAGCCGTAACCCCGCGCGTGCGTCCCTCTGCAGGGCCGGAAGCGGGGCCCAGATGCTTTGCACGCCGGCCAGCTGAAGGTGGACGCAGCCAGCAGCCTGCCCCGGAGGCAGCTCTCCCTCCACGCCTTTCTCACGGCCCCTGCTGGGGAATGAACACGGCCTCCCGCTCTGGCCGCACCCAACGGTGAGGCCCGTCTGGAGGGGAAAGAGGCTCCAACCCTTGTGTTGCTTGGGCTGCAGTGACCGGCACCCGGCTGTCGCCTGGGCTTAGCCCAGGGGAGCCAGAGACCCCCGCACTGTTGTTCCCTGCACGACTTTCAGCCACCCCACCCCCTGGTGCTCCCCCCTGCAAAGGGACCCCTGTGAGTTACTTCCCTTCCCTGGGCCCGGCCCCGCCCCAGCAGCGAGAGGGAGACCCTAGCAGGGATGTGGGGTGGAGTAAGGAATCCAGCAGCTGCCCCAGCAGGAGTCCTGCTGGCGGCACAGCCTGGGGCCGGGACTCGTCCCCGGAGCGTGGGTAGCGGGGGGGTCGGTCTGTGTGTGAATCCTACAGACACGTCCCCTGAGAGCGGACAGTCCCCCCGCTGGTGGGT